AATAATTTGTTCTTAGTTAATAAAAATCAATCCTGATTCAATTTTTTCTTATATTTGTTTAGACATATTTTGAATTTGCCTTTTGAACTTTAATATTAAATAAGGTTATTTTTTTTGTACGATACCCTTCCAAATATTGAATAGAACTATATGTTTTTGTAAAATACTCTTGTAAATATTGAATAGACACTAGCTATTAACATATATATTGGATTTGTCTTTTGAACTTTAACCCTTCATGTCTCTTTTTTTAATGAAGGTTAATTTTATATCTCTTCTTTCTTTCAATGAAGGTTAGTGTCTCTATGAAATTATGAATTCTAAATATTGTATAAGCATTATATATTTGACATATGTTTTAGTTCCATCTATATAATTAGCAATCTTTCCATTTTCTTTTCTTGAGATTGGAATGAAAATTGAATCATGAAATGAAAATTAGCATTTAATAAAGTTTTATAACTAAATAGTTAATTAGTATTAGATTTTATTAAAGAAAAATAGAGAACAATATTAAAAAAAATTTAATTTTAATTTTAATTTTTTAAAAATTGGGTCCACCCGACCCAATCCGAGATCTATGTGGGTGAATCATGAGTTTACCCCTTTAACCCGATACTTGAAATGACTCAATTCGAAAAATTCGAAATCCAAGATGACCTAATCTGACCTGTTTACCAGGTCTAACATTAAACATATGAATTAGGACATGATTATTTGTTTTGTCCGAACCATGAATTAGGCTTACAAATATATCTTGGTGGGTATTCAGGTGTGTTAGCTATCAATCTTTTCATCATCATCATTTGAAAATACACATGCTTAATTTGTTGTTTTTTCATCATTCTCCCTGTTATTTCTTCAATTTTTCTACTGTCTTAGTACGAAATCTTTCTTAATTTTCTATAATCAGCAAAGGAAGGCTTGGATCTGCTTAAGTATTACTTGTTTAATGAAGTCAGCTCACTCTAATCAGTGAATTTCCTCCTACAGAAATATGAAAATCAGGACGTCCTGAGTGAGTGCCGGACATCCTGATTTTCCGGGCTCTCTTCTTTCTATAGTCTCTGCCACAAGGAAGAACTAATGGCAAAGGAAGGAAAGCAGAAAAGGACTGGAGCCAATGGAGCAGAAAACAGACGAGGACCAGGACGTCCGCCAGGGCCGCCACTATCCGAAGAAGAAGAGAAGAAAAAGGAGGAGGAGAAAAATAGAAGGGATAGAGAGTATCGGGCCAAAAAGACGGCAAATAAATTCATGTCCTGTTGTTTTCACTTTTCATATGCACCGCACTAATTAATTGTAGAGTAATAAATAAGAATGTTTCAAGTCATGACAGTTGAATATTCAGAAGAACAGAACTTCGACCGATGAATGTTGGCAGTTGAACATGACTGACACAAAGAGTTCTCACCTATTTCTTTCCAATGCCAATAAGTTGGTGTGTTCATTGTTGCCCGAGTCAGAGACCTCAAGTGTCTCCTTACGAGGTAGGTGATATTTTTTTGGTCAAAAACTTGGTTGATTAATTTGCAATTTTGTACACTTCATCAGCTAATTTCGCTTTAAATTAAGGGTCCGTTTGGTGTAGCTGGAGCTTTTAATGAAAGTACTTTTTAAAGGAATTTATTGTGAAAGTACTTTTTTTAAGAAGTTAAAGGTGTTTGGTAAAATTTTTTATTAAGAAACTTTTTAAAATGTAAAGTTGTTTGGTAAATTTTTTTATAAAAGGTCTGTCGATCTTGAAATGACTAAAAAAGATATTTTGTTTAAAAAAGTATTTTTTTTATATTTTTATAGAGCTTTAATTCCTTTTTAATTTCATTATGTTAAAGTTGATTATTATAAATGAAATTTTTA